TTCTTCTTCTTCTTCTCTCTTCTCTCTTCTCTCTTTCTCTCTTCTCCTTCTCCTTTCTCCCTTTCTCCCTTTCTCTCTCTCTCTTTCTTTGTTTTTTGTTTGTTTGTTTTGTAATAATATCTAGTTGGGGCATTCATTCCTTTGAGTCTTATGGATGCAAGGAACTTCAGTGACATATTATACCAGACCTCCGTCCTTTCTACAACTCATCTTTCTCATGGCATCTGGCTCATCATGTGTGCACCAAGTATCTTTTCCTTCCCCAAGTATATGTGGCCTTTTGTTGGACGTGTGTCTCTTCTACTCTAGAACTCAAAGCCCCACTCCTTCAAAGCTTCCTTTCCATATCAAACTGGTTAAAATTGTTATAAATTTTAGTAACGATCTTTAAAGTCTTTCATACTTCTCTCCTTTGCAGAGCTCTGTTGTGTGTATGTGTGTCTGTATAGCAACAGCTCGTTTGAGTTGGTCGTTTGCACGTGTAGCCTGTTGTTCCCGGTTTGTTTGCCTGTTTTCCCGTTTTCCTGTTAGATTAGTAAGTTTGTTGTGAGAGGATCTGTGCCTGATCTGCTTGCAGAGGGCGCTGTTAGTTTAGTGACCTCCCAAGGATCAGATTCACCCAGGGATTGTGTTTAGGTTGGCCTCTAACTTTATAAAGCAAAGCATTATTTTTAGGTACAAGCTTCATTTAGCATTAGAGTTTAAATTTCACTGTAATTTTTTCTGAAAGTGCTTTAAAGAAATAAAATGCTGTCTTCTTGGTTTAATGACATACAGAATGCATTATTACATGCAAACAGGAATCTCTTCCTCCAAACAGTTGTCCTGTTGAGGAGCAGGGCAACCCACAGATTCATGGCATTATTATCCCGTGAAATGTAGTTTTGGAGAATGTTATTTTTAATATCCCACAATATTTTTAAATAAGCCTGTGAAAAGCACCCATGTTTTATGTTGCACATATAATGGTAGCTATACACAAATACAGGTGCGCACGCACACACACACACACACACACACACACACATTGTCATGTGTTACCTCTCCTAGAAGAGATACTCCCTCAGTGGCTGTTTATGTCATAAAGAAATCAACTAAATGCTGGGTTCCGTGGGCTCTTACACAAAATAGGAGCCCTGATCAATATCATTACGTGATGCTTAAAGGACAAAAAATGAGGGTAATAAAATCAAGTAAAGCCCAACTTTGATTCTGTAATTACTGACTAAATACTGAATTAATTTGTAAAATATAGGTCTCATATGTATGTAAATAACAGAAAATGAACAAAGGGAAATAATTTTATTTCTTAAAAATGCCTAAAACTCCCAACTCAAATAATAATGTTATTTCCATTTCATCAGTATTTTTTCTATGTGCAACCCTCAAGACACCCAATCTGTAGTTCCTCAAGTAGGGAGCGCCACGTTGCAAGGAAGGAGGCCAAGGTAGAGAAACACGGGCAGTCGGTCACTCACCGAGATTGAAAAGATCTTCTCTAGACCTACAATTCTCTCTGAAAGGGAAAATTTATACAGGATGATAAAGTTCTTGTGAGTCCTTTATCTTGTATTAAAGATCGTGTCATATGGCTCCAGATATGCAAAAATTTAATTTAGCCTAGCATTGATGTGTCAGTTATAAACCTTCTCTCATCTTCTTGAGAAGAAAAGAAAATGGGGGCCTAAAAGGAAATTTTTTATTTTCCTAGCTTTACTGAGATATAATGGACATAGAACATTGCATACGTTTCAGGTGTACAACGTGTTGATTTGATACACATATATATGCAGTATGATCACCTCCATAGTGTTAGCTAACACCTCCATCATGTCACATAGTTATCATTTCCTTTTTGTGATAAGAACATTTAAGATCTACTCTCTCAGCAACCTTCAGGTATTTTATACAGCATTGTTAATTATAATCACCATGCTGTACATCAGATCCCCAGAACTTACTCATCTTCTAAATGAAAGTTTGTACTCTTTGACCAGAATCTCTCCATTTCCCCCACCGCCCCAGACCCTGGTAATCACCATTCTCCTCTCTGTTTCTACATATTTGGCTACTTTAGATTCCACAAATAAATGTTATTGTATCACATTTATCTTTCTCTGTCTGACTTTCTTCTCTTAGCATAAGGCTTCAAGGTCCATCCATGTTGATACAAATGGCAAGAGAGGAAATATTATTGTAAGATTATTTATTATACCTACTTCTTCAGATATTGGTAGGTGTTTTGAATTCTCTGGATGTGCTATTTTGAAACTGGAGGAAACAGTGGCTTCCCTTTATGTGCTCCTGCATCCAGGGAGTAGGCACA